CTCAAACATACAGAAGAATCAAAAATCATTTTCGATAATATCACTTCAGAAAAGCACCAGAAATACACTCAACATCATGGCAAAAAATCAAGACAGGAGCAAGTAAGGTAAAATTAACACAAGTAAAACACAACATAACAAAAAGCAAGGTATCGTTCAGAATTCAAGGCTCAATCAGTCAAATGTCAAATCGCAACACACACAGAGATAAAAAAAGCACTAGGCAGGGTACACTCACAACAGAAGAATCAAAAATAATTTGCAGTAATTTCAGTACAGAACAACAGAGTGCAAAAACAAAACAATAGGCAGTTCAAAAAGAATTCAATTTGCAAAGAGAAACAACAACAACAAAACAGAGGAACACCGTTGAAAACAATATCAAATGTCAAAACTCACGGAGCAACACACAGAGGCAAATTATGCTTAGGGCACACGGACACACACAAACATGGCAAAAACCAAATAATTCGAAACAAAACAGGAAAGAGTTTAAACACAAACATGATAAATAGAGAGAAACCCATCAATGATAAAAGCAATTCAACAGAGGTAAGACTCGGCAATAGATTTAAAGAGAACAAGACAGAAGAGCATATAACACATATGAAAAAGAATTACATTGAAATTCACTGACAGTGACAAGTAAACAAGACACCAAATAGAGTACTTAACTTTAATGAGGCCTTCATACTGGCAACAGGTAGGAAATGGTGACTCAAGCAGATCAGTGACGTCGTTGGTTTAAACATCCAATCGTAACTTCTTGTTTCCTGAAAACAATTACCCCAATTAAAACTAAATCAGATAAATTATAGCACAATAATTAGAAAACAAATAAGATTCTTACCTCCAGATGGAATCTAAGAGCTGGGATACCAAAATTCCTTATCCACAAATCCTCAAGGAGTTATCAAAACACAGAAGCTTAAGTGCGTCACCTGTTGATGCAAAACATAGAAAAAAGTTTAACTCTATAGCACTGGTGATGTAAAGAAGCTGGTGCGTACACCAAATGAGACTATGGTAGTTGAAAAAGAGAAGTGAAACACATAATTATACAAGTGCTATAGCTTCACTAGTGGAGAACATAACCTTATCCAGCGGTACAGAAAAGTTTAAATAGACACTCTGAGTGTTTTACTTAACAGTAAAATCTATCGTAGTGACTTAGAAAGACGCCCCGACAAGGAAAATGTCTCGAACAACGAACAATTCGATTTTAAGAAGTCAAATAACACCTCACCTGAGATCGGTTGTGAAAGTTGTACTTCCTTAGCCTACTCCCAAAGAAAACTTGTGCACACTGACGATATTCGAACATACTAGAGCAGGATTATACTCTCCGACGGTTCCAAAAGCCTTCGCAGTCAATAGTAAAACTACAAAAATGTGGTAAAACAGTTCAAAAGATTAAAATAGAAACAAACGCGATTTTCCTCTGTCTCTTTCGAAAGCATGGATGGAGCCGACTGCCGATTGGCCGGCAGAGGGCGGGCGCGGGCGCGGCGGGGGGCGCGGGGCGAGCGCACCACAGCCACCACTTCGGTACCAACCTTCACATAGTTAAGCGCTCCCCACTTTCAAATTTCTCTCGTGTTGTTTTTCTATCTCGCTGTGCATAATAGTAATTTTAAAGAATAA